ACAGGGATGACAAGAAGGATGAATGGATTGACTTTCGACGTGGCCCTTTCCTTTGCTTCTCTTATTTCTCTGCTTCTTGAGGGGAACACAAAAAACGATCTGCTGCCAGTGGAAACGTGTGTGAGGAAAGCAGGATAGACCCACTGGGAAATTTTACTCTCCCAAAACCAACTCAGGGCAGATGCCAACAGGTGAAACTTCCCTGTGGAAGGATCCCTCTGAACAGGAGGGTGCTGCTGTCTGCTGGGGGACGGGCACAAACCACGCATCTTTCATACCCATTCATTTTTTGTCTCTGGAAAATCCTGCAATTGGTCTTTCCTTTTTGCTGTGTCAAAGAAGAAATTTGAATTCATTTCTGCAGTGGTACTAAAAGCTCTATTTCCTTATTCCTAAATAAAAGTATGGATCAAGTGCCCTCTCTGTGACACATCTTCTCAGGAAAAAGCTGTTTGAGTGCACTGGATTTATGCTGCAAGACACGGGTTTGATTATTTTATTTGACCTTCTTTATTCCCGTATCTGATCATTTAATGCAAATAAACACCTTGGTTCACCTTTGCATCTTGGATCCCACAAGGTAGGACCTGTCACTTACAGCTGCTCTCACTTTCAAACAGGACTTTTGGACATCCAGTTCTCTTTATGTTTTTGAAAACTGCCTGCTCCAAGAGATGATGGATTGAACTGGTCATGGAAAGAGAGGAAGGATGTTGTCGGTAGGGTGGGCTCTCCAAAAACATGCCAAGTCAGACCTAAAGTCCGTTTCCAATACAATTAATCATTTTATACAGTACTTCCCAAATTCAGTACTGAGCATAAAAAACAGCTAATTAGTTTCTGCTCAAGCACACTCGACAGAGTTGAAACAGTATATATTTAATGGCCAATATGTTACATTACAGGGTCAGTAGAGCTCCTAAAAGCCATTATTCCCCTGCAGAGGGAAATACCAGAGTTGTAAAACTGCTCCCAGCCCTTCTCCCAGGGGTGGGAGTTGAAGGGAGGGGACAAGTTGTGGGTGCTCTGGACACACCAGACGGTACTGTGAGCCATAGGAGACACTTGTACCTTAAGTGAGCTCCTAAGGACTGATTGAGTTATGTGGAGGCTCAGGAACAGCTCAAGGTCATGGAACAACAGAAGTGCTTTAAAACCCTTTGATTTCTCTGTGTGTTGTGTTTCTGAGGAGCTCAGCCTACAGTCCCTCAGCAGGAGCCTTGTGCTCACGCGTGGCTCAGAGCTAACCCAGGCTATTATCAGCTCCAGCACCTGCTTCAAGACCTGAAGGAAACGGTCTCTGAAAAAAGCCCGCTGTTAAACTGGAGTTTTGCAAGTGCTGTGTCCTGTGAAGCCCATCGGAAGCCAATAATAGAGATCACACAGAGCAACAAGCAGCCTCCCTCACCTCAGTTACACCAGGCATTGATGTGCAACCACCAGAGGAACCTGCTGAGAGTCATCACGCTCCATCCCTCACTCCAGCTCACACGTGTGACTCCAGTCCAACGGTGCAGCTGCCGCTTACCAAAAGAGCATATTCAAAGAAAACATGACTTTTTTCCTCTTCAGCATGATCTCCATCCAGCTTGGCTGGTGAGCGGTGTGCCAGGACTCCCTGAGCGAGCATTTCTGCACCCATGGGTGGCATTTCTGCACAGACCTACCCAAACAAGGGTCAGATCCTTTTGGTGCCCACCACGTACCACCTTGCTCTGTAAGCAGGCAGTGGGTACTGCCCTTCTGCCAAGAGGTAGAGTGAGAGGCAGCACATCACCTGTGTTTTGAGTCCGTAGCCCAACACACAGCTAAGCTATGTTTAAGCTAATTGGTATTTTCTCATTCTGCACCAAGGACGTATTCATAGCATCAAGGTCTCTTTTTTTGGAGGGCAGGGTGTCTCATGAATACAATCCTTGCTTGAGTGAAAAGCACGGCCATTATCTTTTACAAAGAACGATACTTAGAATCAGTCTCTTGTGTGTATTAATAATGACACGCTAATTGAATCTGGAAGCTCATTGCTCAGAAGCAATGGATTCGGGGCTAATATTAGCATTTTATAGCTTTGGATAGAATGCAAGCGAGGGTCTTGCCAAGATAAACACAAGGTTTGCTTTTATTGCTGGCAGGCATTGCTAGAGCTCCATTGTTATAGCTGGGGTTCAGCAATATTTATCAGCAGAAAGCTTAGCCTGAAGTCTTTAACTCATTGCTGTGCTGGAGGTGAAGTTCTACATGATCTGCATTGAAATTCCCTTATTAAGGAGAATTTGAAGAAATTCCTGTGTCCTTTCCTTTCTGAAGGAGTTCCTTCTTGAGGCTCAGCATGGCAAGGTAAAAGATTGTAGTTTGTTGTTGCTCTAAAGTGCACAAACAAGAGTGAGATACAATAAATTCATTACCTTTGCATTGCAGGTTGCCACCGGTACATGATATTTACCACTGGGTAATGGGGAAGGTTGGACAGGAACACTCTTCATCAGTAGAAAGCCCTTGTTAAAACATTAACAACATTTTTGAACCAGATGTGGCTGGACATACCATTAAAAGTTGCAGGGGGCACAAAGGAAATTAGACTATTCTTGTTTGTCCCAGGAAGTGCTGTGCTTATCGGGCATCTAGAACAGACTTTCTTTCCCTCTGTATTCCAATGGGATTTTTTGATCATTCTCTCTCAGGTGCCTCAAATCACATTCATCCAGAGAGCTATGCTCCTCACACAGAGTTGTGGAGACCTTTAAACAAATCTTGGCAAGTGGCACGTATTCACTGCATTTGAAACTTGGTATATTCCTAAGGGAACTGCTTTCAAGGATGACAAGCCATCTGTCTCCACTTCTGGTGTTTTCTCTGCTTCCACATCCATATGTTATGGTGGAAATAATGTTTTCAACTCAAAAGCATCATTTGGTCTGTAAATTGCAGATTTGTAATGATCAAATCTAGTTTAAGCCAGACAGTGAAGACTTTTCCATCATCATTTGCTGATAGGAGAAATGGGCAAAGAGGAGCCTTGCGAAGCTCAGCAAAGGCAACTACAAAGCCCTGCACCTGGGGACAAACCACCCCAGGCACCAGCACAGGTTGGGGACTGACCAGTGGGACAACAGCTTTGCAGAAAAAGTCCTGGTGATTGTGTGAATAACATCTACATTCTTGCTTTTTTTTCCACCGCTGTTTCCAACATGGAGCAAAAGAACAGAAGGTTCAGCTATTTCCAGGTTCTCCAGGTCAAAACCCCATGTGCAGGGTCAAGGATGCTCTCAACAACTCCCAGTGATGCTCTAAACAACTCCCAGTTTGGATGCACCAGATTCCAGTGCAGTGAAGCTCATCTTCTCCTCAGCTTCTGGCCCGGAGGTGGTACCCAGAGCCCGTCTTGTCTTTTCCTTCACCTCCTTCCCATCACCATGGGGAAATGGCAAGTCGTTACAAGAGACCACTAATAATCTGCATCTAAAGCAAATAAAAAACCCCTCACTGACTCCGTGAGAGAGCCAGCAGGTCTGTTCGTAATCGTATTTACACTGGAGTTGTTCCATTAGCCCCTGGGAAGCTAATCCTGATTTACAATTATGAAAATCAGATAGAAATCTAGAGCCAAGCTTGTCTTTTAAGAGTTGCTGTTACAAGAGTCCAAAAACAACCACCACAATGCTCCTATCACATCAAAGTGAGCTGTCAATGATCACCATTTCGGTTAAATACAGATATGCCAGGAGTGTTGAAATGGGAACAGGCATTTGAAATCATATTTCCCATGAAGAATTAATGGGATTTTTTATTTAAACACTGGGGAACACAGCCTAATTTAAAAAACAGTCCAAGAAAAATTAGCTCGGCCTCTATAAAGGGCTGTTCTTCAGTGCCCACTCCTGTTATATTTGAACATTCAGCCTCCCCCAAGAAGCACCCTGGCACTGGCACCAACTGCCGATCATTTTTAAGGCAAAACAAAATGCTAGATTTTATTACTCATCACAAGAAAAAAAAATAGTCAACATAGAGGGAGGAATCAGGGAGAACATTATTATGGCAATGCCATTTTAGACAAGAGGTTGTAACACATTTGTCATATTGCAGACACAAAGTTATAAATATTAATATAACATTCATAGGGAAAAGATCAGGACAACTCCAGACGCACAGTTACTGAGAATTTTCAGTGTTATGCAAGACATCTCCTAGCACAAGGAGAAATTATTTGATTGTGCTTCTTTTACGAAGAGATATGGGTGGAGGTGTTCCCAGAGGACAGAAACGTTCACCGCCAGCAGAAGCAGCGGCTCCTGAAACAGCAGGAAGGGAGCAGTGGTCAAAAGGGTTTTCAAAAGGAGTAAGTTTTCAATGGAAGTTTTAATTTCATTCAAATGGGAATCTTTGGGAAAGGTGCTGGATTTCTTAGAGCCTCCGACTTTTTCCTTGGAATTCATTCATAAAAATTTCCACCTGAAAATTATCTTTCCACACGAGGCCTCAGTGTGACTGTATCAGAGTCTGAATTAGCGCATGAAAGGAGTATCCAGAAAGGTGTGACCTTTCAGCAGAAACAGATTAATTTCTCACTTTTCTGGGTGCTTTTTTCAATTTATTCTGCACATTATGTACTTCGGTACTTTTGTGGCTGTGGGGAACTCACCACCAACCTTTGGTTCTCTGTTGTAATGCTATGAGGACAAAGTGCTTGTGGAAAAGAAATGCCAGTCCGTGTTCAGTCTTAAGAAGCCAAGCAGGAAACTCTTACTGTTGTCCTCAAGTCATTCATGTGAGAGCACAAGAGAAGACAGAACCGTTATCGCTGAAGATGCACAAAGAAAGGACAAGAGGCAACAGACACAAGCTCCACCTGGGAAATTCCAATTGTACATTAGAAAAAAAAATTCAATCATAGTAGTCAAACACTAGAATAGGGCCCAGAGAGGTGAAGGAACCTCTCCAGAGGTCCCTTCCAACCTATTTTCTGTGATGAAATACAAAACCTTGCTGTAAAGACCCACTGGAAGTAAAGTATTTTTAATTATAATAGCCAAAAATATATGCACAATACTGTGTATTTTACATATACCAAGAAAAAAAACCATACTGCATTTCAAAATTCATTTACTGCAAGAAGAGGCAAATAGTCAGTAGTAAGGTTAAGTCACTAATATTAAGAAAAGCCACAATCTGCATGTAAGTTGAAGCCAGAAGAAAGGTACAGAAGCTCAGTATTCAGAGACACGAATTCAAAGGATTTCATACCCAATTCATCCCAACTTCATTACGTGAAAACTGAGTCTGGATTGCAGGTCTGGGCCTAGATTATTATCTAGTGCCCATGAGCTTCAGATTAATCCATTTACTTCTGCTGTTTTGAGATATTAAAGTGCAAGGTCAAGGGTATTTTAGTTCTCACAACCGCAGCCTTTTTTCACAAAAATTACTTTAATTACCAGACCAAAATGTTATTTTAAATTGTTCTTCATTTCAGGAGGTGTGAACACTGAACTAGCTGTAACAAACTTCTAACATTTTCAAAGTCAAAAGGTCATTTTTACTTAAAAAAACCTTCACAATAAAACTCTTAACAGAGGCTTAAAAAGGTCTTTACAAAATAATCTCCATCACACTTACAATAGTAAGAAAATTATTCTGGTTGCTAGTTTTTAGTAAATACGAACTGGTTTGTGTAATCTGTATTAAAGATGGTTAGAACTACAGTTCACATTTTATTTTTTAAAGGTGGACCCATAAACATGTCAAGAAAAGCAGATCATTGCTGTTTCTCAACAAGTCTTTTTTAATGAGGACGTGCTGCCTTGGTAGGCAAAGCCTGTTTGACTGCCAGCTGATACAGGATAGCTGAAGGAGAGAAATAATGATTTGCACGCCAAAAAAAACCTTCAGCGATCACTTTATACTTGGCAACTGTACAATTAAACTGATTTAAGATCAAAATTGTGTCATTCCATCCATCCCTTGAATGACAGCGCTGATCATCTCAAAATTTAAGTTTGCTTGAAGTGACAAAAGAAGGTAGAATCTGAGCAAGTTCTGGACTGGCAGAAAAAAAAGTCTGTCGCTCATCCTGTCATCTGTAACTAGGAAAATACTAGATGTTCTTCAAAGTGTTTTTCACCAGGTCTGTCGGAGCAACAGGATGGCTGTGCAGAGAAAACACAACATGTGTGTATGGGAAGTATGAAACACATCAAATTCTCTATTCCTGCAGTAGTATTAATAAAATTAAATATGCCAACATTCAATTTCAAGGACTCAAAAGGATCTAAAAATCCATACACATTTCTCATCAATTTTTTTTCATCACATTTTTTAATACAATAAGCTCCTGAAATGTGCTTTTTGTGGACACAAATTGGCAATTACTATTACAAACAGAAAGAGCTCACAATAACTGCTCATAGTATGTCATTCACTACGCATTTTAATTACCTACCACATTCTTTAACTTACAGCAATAAATTATCCTACTCTATTTAGAGATAGAAATAAAGATGCCATAGTTTATACATCTAAGATTTAATATGCTGGTGCATTCTCCTCCCTTACTGGGGCCCTCTGAAAAGAGCTGTAAAAATAAGAATAATATATAGAGTACATAGTGACTTAAATCTTCTAACCAACACAGTGACAGACACTCCTGTGAATGCAATAAAAAGAATAAGACACTAGTGGTGGCTACACTTAACTACATATGGACAAAATTCTCATTTGCAAGGGTAAATTAAAGCCATCTTAGAATTTTTGGTTTCCTTTCAACCAAGTTACCAAAACAGATACAGAAAATGAAATCTTCAATTTATGTGTTAAAGTTGTCCCAAGCTCTTCTTTACATTGTTCACATGAAACCCTGGTACCACTGTTTCACAAACAGTAGCTTCAAGATGATGTAGAAGAGTTAATTCTAGTCACTCATACAAAATAAAAGTAGAACTCGGATGTTTTTGATATCATTGTTCCTAGTTTATGAGTGAGCAGAAGGAAACAGATATTGGCAGCTACTCACCAATTTTGTGTGCAACCAATTCTTCTCGTACGCAATTTTAACTCAGATAGTTAACTTACCCATAAATGTCAAAACAGTAAATACTCCCAAGACAGAACCCTACACAAACTGCTACGCAGCAGATGCTCTGCATCAACGCTCTCTCTCTTTGCTTTCAAAATCTATCCTCCATATGATGGAGCACAGTGACAACCTTAGTCCCTCTTCTGCTTTCAAGAACACTGTTTGGCCAACTCTATCTCTCCAATAGAAAACAATCAGCTAATTCAGACCAGGAATAAAACCAAACATCCAGCTCCTCCCTTAGCTTGCATCTGCTACAGTTTTATCTGCTCCAAAATGATCATAGTCCCCAAGCAGTGAACGGGACCTGCACTGGCCAACAGCACCATAAAGACTGACATTCCTAAGCAGGGACAAGCAGATCCTGTCTTTTTCCCTCTGCTGACAGCAGACACCATGAAATTAAACTGGACAGCAAGAGGTAGCTCTGCACATCAAAGCAGGGAAGTGGTGAGGTCTCAGCATCCAAATCAATTAACGTGAAAAATATGAAGAGGGAGCCCAGAGCTACCTGTGACATTTACTCTTTCCCTTGAGCAGCCCATGAATACAGAGAGGCTGTTTCTTTAGATAATCTGCTTCTAGATAGATAAATGGAGGTTCCTGCCATAGGCACTGCTGGAGAATCCATTACCTTCCTACTAGCACCCTTCACATTTGAAAGTCTTAAAAGAAAAGAAAAAAAGCAAAAGAAAAAACCCACATGCCAATCCTACCTGACCAATGTCTATCACATTTTCCTTTTCCCTGCTGTAAGACTTCTGCAATAATATTTCACACAGCTTATGTAGAGGCATTTCTTCTCTTGTAAAAAAAATCCTGGCCTTGCAGCATGCAGCCTTCCCAAGACACCCCTGGTCATTAAGTGCATCCCAGTGGGACCCAATTGCCCTTCCATTTAAGTCTCTGGGACCCAAATCCCAGTCTCAAATGCTGTTCAGTCAAGGAAGTGCAGGGAGGAGTCCCAAGCAATTCCTGCTGGTATCACAACCACACAGACACCCTCAACTGTGCTTTGCTGCTCAACATCCTCCTAAACTGTCCTCAGTTTAGTTCTCAATGAAAGATACACAGTGTCTGCTGAAGCTAAGCAACAAACCACTTCAAGCTTTGTGGTGACAAATTAACACCTCCCAACCTCCACAATGAGACAAAGTTGTTTCTGTAGCAATAAGCTTCGTATGATTTCACCCTAAATAGTCATAAATAAAAGCTGAGAAAAAAATTCTCTAAGTATGACTTGAGACTCTGCACAGGCCATTGCGGTAACCGATACACCACTGTCAGTGCTGGGCAGTCAAACAGTGCCTTTTTCCTATTATTTGGCCAAGCTCTAAAAAATGCATTTCATCAGCTATGACATTTCATTTTTTAAAATGAGATGCTATCAACTGACCATGAGAAGCATTCTGTTACAAATGACTACTAAAACTGTACGGTAGCAGTTACAGATATCTAGAATATTCCTCTGAAATGCCAAGTATTTCTCTTCATACTGGGTATTTATGTACCTTGGCATTATCAGTTCTTCTGAAAAATGGAGAAATACATCAGCAATACACCTTGTTGTATGATTCCTAAAAAGACAAGGTACATATTTCTTCCTCCTTACCACTGAAAAGAGAATACAGCCTTTTCCATAACATCAAGTGAGGCAAATTGGTACAATACAGATCCTCAGCTAGAATACACATCTTAAAATAATAATACCTGCAAGTTATATTTTGTATCTAAGATACTAAATTATATTAGATATGTGATTTCTCTTCAAAGTGAACCAACTTCTATGCTTCCATATAATTTTACTCGTTCTACTGAAATTCTTAAGCTATACAATGATAAGAAACTAGTGGCATATATAGAGGTCTCAATTAGGAATTTATCATTATAAACGTTTAACACCTTCTTAGGAGAGAAGTGACTTTTTCCCTGGCACGTATGTGAACAGTTGGCCAACTAATAACCACAATTTGCACATTAAAACACTGGATCACTACCAACATTCTTTAATTTACTACACTGTAAATGAAATTTCATCATATCCAGTATCACCAAGTTTTCCTACACTTTCCTACACTGAACAATTGAATTGAGGAACACTTTTGACGTATTTGTACTAGTGATTATTAGGCCACACCAAAAAAAAATCTTAATATCAGGTATCTTTTAGGAATGGAGGGAAGAACTTGAAGACTTCCCCTGCATCTAAAGTCTAGAAATTGTTTTTCCCATCAGAATGACACTTGGCAGTTGCCTGCTTAACAATTTAAACCGCAGAGGAAAAAAGAGAAAGTAAAGACATCTACTTGCAGCTGAATTTGATAGGAGTACATAAGTTATATTAGAACAAACTTACAAATTCCTGTATCTATACATCAATGTTGTGGCTGTTCAGGATTGATATTCATAGTCCTGTATATTTCCTTGAGAAACAGCAAGGCAGTGTCTTCAGATCCCCTATGAAGAATTGAGAGAGAAAAATAAACCAAAACAAACTGTTATTTTGGTATGGTCCATATTCTAATTCTTGTGAGACACACTTCATCCCATTCCAGGTTTCTAAAACGTTTGCACAACCTATTGCCCTAATACTTATCTTTTGGGAACGTGGCTTTACTTCCACCAAATTTCACTATCTTCATCATTTTTGCTTTATTTCTGCTATCAGCCCTAGCCTATGCATTTACCTTTTTCTACTGTATTTTCCCCCAACTCTGTCCCCCCTAACTCACTATGGCTGCAACTTGAAATTCCCCTTCTCTATCCACGTCTTTGATGTTACTCATTTGGCTTAAATTTCTTCAAATAATCTTTTTTTTTTTTTTGTCTGCGATGGGCTCCTGAATATATTCCACCAAGAATACATTCCACCTGTCAAGGCTTCCTTCCTTTACTTGCTCCACTGCAAAATCAAAACTTTAGACTATCTGAACTTAAATTTATCATGGACAAGACTTAATTTTCTTAATTGTCTATAAAGTATTATTTAAACACATGTAAATAGTACCAATATAAAGAGCAACAATCACTGTTAGAAATAATAAACAGGCAAATTGTAACAAAGTTCCAAAG